CCCGCGCTTAGCGAGGCCTCGCCGCTCCCGACGGTCCAGGCTCCGAGCCTCCAAAATGGGTCCTTGACACCCTCAGGCGGCAGGTCTCGCCCTCTCTCCGCACACGCTGGCCGGGCACAGCAGCCTCGTTCCCTCCCAGCTCACCTCGTGGTGACCCTTCAAGCCCTCCTACACCTCAGTGCTGCTCCAGCAGCGCCTTCAGGACGTGGGAGGGGTTTTAACTCTGTTTAAATGTGTCCCCTCTCTCTCTCTCGACAGCTCCGCTCGTCCCTCCGTACCTCCAGCGCCTGCACGCAGGACCAGGGTGAGGCAGGTGGGTTACTCCTGTAGCCCTGGGCTGTGGAGGCTGCGGGTCAGATCAGATCCAATAAGTCTGACACACACGATGCTAGTAAAGAGAATTTGGGGATCTAGGGTGGAAGCACAAATTTTTATTTTCAAAGCATCCTGGTACTCAATCATCTGGGTTGGAAAAGCCCTTGAAGCTCCTCCAGCCCACCCATGACCCTCCCCCTGACCGTTCCCAACTCCACCAGAACCCTCAGCGCTGGGTCAGCCCGACTCTTCAACCCCTCCAGGGATGGGGACTCCCCTCCTGCCCTGGGCAGCCCATTCCAACGCCCAACAGCCCCTTCTGCTAAGAAATCCTACTATCTGCTTGCACAAGATGGTGGTGGCAGATGGTACCTCCTAATGGGCATTAAATTTCCTCTTATACAGCAAAAGCTTTTTTTCCTGCCATGGAAAGAGGCAGAGACCTGTGTACCCTTTTATATTTACTCTTCTATCTTCAAGACAGCAGGCAGTGAAGCATCAGAAAGGATAAGAGGACAGATCATCCTCAGGTACAGCTGCAAGGATGTGTCACTGCACTAAGGTTTGTTTGTTTGATTTTTTTCCCCCCCTATTTGACCCCTTGCATTCCTAAGCAGAAATTAAATGAGCAAACACCTTACAGGCTTCAGACTTTGTTCTATATGCACCAGTAAAACTGTCCTCAAGCAGCATTGTTCCTACAGTGACAAAAGCTTTACACAGAAGAGAATGACATCGAGTAAGTAATGTTTTTGGGGAAAAAAGTGGAAAACACAGAAATGAAGCCTCAGCTTTCAAAGGCTGAAGAATGTCATCTCTCCCCTACTAAGTATGAAAATGACAAGATGGAGCATGTGAAAAGAAGGTGGGAAGGGCTAAGCAGGGAGGTAGCACAGTTGTTATTCACTCACCTCAGCTAGAAAGGGCAGCTTTTCCAAAACACTCTTGTGTATTTATGTGAAACAAAAGCAAAAATGCCATGATCAGGAGCAATTCTTTAGGTGGGTTATGGGGAAAATCCATCAATCTGAGCCCCTTGAACTGCAGCTTGCTGTGGGACAGGTTCCTAACATGGCCTGCAGGAAGTGTTTGTGCAGTTCCAGGTGCAGGGGAGTTGCAGCACAGGAGCAGAAATTCTTGACATCACGCCTCTCATCTCAAACATGGTGAAGAGGCATGAAAAAGAAGGAAGAGGGGGAAGAATTGAAAAGAGAGGCAGGCAGGAGTAGGAGGTCAGATCTCAGTGAACACTCACACACTGATGTTTTGTAAGAGATCCCAGAAGACAGTAAAAGGGAGGCAAATGCTGATTTTCATGATTGCAAGAAATGAGGAAAGCGTATTTCAGTACATCAAAGGTGATAACCTTGGCCTGTCTCCCTTTTAACCAGATTTCTGCTGTTAGGGCTTTTAGGTAACATGGAATCTGATTGATCCAGACCTTGAAAGGGACAAATATTTAATCAAGGATTTCATCTAGTGGGAACTGCGAGACATTTGATGTGTCATGTAGGAACTGCGAGGATTCAAGGAGATGGGGAGTGCTACTCTGGCCCTACACCTAGCCAACTCACAAGACGACCCAGGCTCGGGCAGCATTTGTTACGACTTCAAAAAATGAAGTGGTTTATAATATAATGAACAAATCCACACCAAGTCTTCACTGCTGGGTACCTTCAGAAGTTTTATTTATCTCTTCATACTCACACCTAGTCCAACAGAATGAGTCATTACAAAGCCATTTTCCACAAATCTGCCTTTTAAAAGACAAGTAGCTCTGACTGAGCTCTACTAATGCTCTATTTGTGAATTCAACCATTCAAAATACAAAGATTCAAATAATTACAGGCAAGAAAATCTGTGTATAAATACAAAATACAACACATTTTAGTGAAGGAACTTGGGTACAGTTCCATGATTTGCTCCTACATTCAATTCCAGAAAAGAAAGAACAATGTAATCAGGGGTTTCTCCAAATTTCATATTTTTCTAACCAAACTGAAGAAGCAGCAGTAAAGTCAGACAATCACAGAATCCTCTTGGTTGGAAAGACCTCGAAGATCATCTAAGTCCAACCATTAATCTAACACCAACCATTCTCAAGTCTTTGGTCCACACAATCAGTAACAGAAACCTGCACCCAGGTGTGGTCATGCTCCACTAAACCTGCAGCTTTTTGGTTTCTTTTTGAACTCACCACAATTTCACTCCATCTGTAGATGTTTTGGTACCAGCTAGATGAATTACTGCTGGCTGCCATCCTGCAGTTACCAGCACACTGCTGCAGGTGAGAGGCAGCCTCAGTGCTATCCAACGCCTCAGCACAGGGTATCACTGAATCATGTTGTGTAAAGTAAATGACACAACTAGGAAACGCTTGGGCATTTCACTGCCCATTTATCAAACATTATCAAATACAGAGCCAAAAATCTCTTCATCAAAATCACAATCCCCATATAAAAACATCCCTGGCCTTACTATAGGCTGCAGGTGTTTCCTCTGCCCCTGAACACTTCAGCCGGGAAATAAATACTTGCACAAAAGGACACTTCTGGAGATGCAGAAAATGATAAAAACAACCAAACATCTAGAAATCTAAACTTCAGTGACCATTTTGAAAGGCAAAGTTAATGTATTCCATAACGAACAGGTAGTAAGAAATTTTTTTTTTAACTCTAGAAGAAAAAAGAAACATTCTTTCCTCAAGTTGATATTTTTAGTGAGAAATTTTAGTCAAGCTGAAACATATACTAAACAGCTTCAAGTCATCCTTAACAGCAGTATTAGTTTTAATACATTCTGGTGGGACATTTACCAGATTGATCAGGTTTGAAGCTCATTCCCTGAAAACAGCTCTATGCCCTGCTCACCTTGAAACAGCCAGCGGCCCTTTTTCTCAGCTGTATGGCTTTTCAGTGGCTCTTGCCAAAATCCCTGAGACAATGTCTTCACTCCCGGGAGAGAAGGCAATTGAGAAGAAATACAAAGAGTCAGAGAACTGTAACACAACAATGTTGTTACAGCAAGGATATTGCAAGACAACTGTGTGTTAGAAAACAGGCTTGCAGTTTCTGTGAAGGAAGAAGATACAAAGCTTGAATTGTGCAGGCGAGGGGAACCTGATTTTCATGTACTTACAAGAAGAATTTTTCAAAGCTGCATTTTAGAGTACAGACCATGCAGCTTTCTCCTTCCTTCTTCCTCACCAGGTCTTTGGTTCATATCGAATTCACAAGAGTTCTTGACTTTTGTGGCATTTGGAAATCGATCTGGGAGCGAGCAAACACCACCGTGAAACCTGCTTCTAGCCACAAAAGGACCCAACAGCCACCTGGGAGGCACTTTTGTGAAGACAGAGACTGAACAGCGCTGTTTTCTTTCTACTGTTGGAATGCCTGTTACTCAAATCTCCCTTCCTTTATGTATTACCCAGCACTGTAGCAGCACCTAACCTTCCTTGTTTTGCAGACCTGACCAGAAATTGGTCTTTCTAAAAAGCACTATCCCTTGGAGGTCTGGCACCATAGCTCCAGCAAGTGCCTAAACCCCTCCTCATCCAGAAATCTCCTCCTCTGCCACTGAAAGGCGGTGTGACAGGTAGCGGTGCGCCCCACGGCACAGGTCCAGCAGACAGCCTTCTGACGCCACAGCACGCGCAGCTAACACTTCAAGCACACCCCAGGTCAGGTTAATGATTGCTGGCAAGCTTTCCTGAGCACAGTGCCAGACTGAATTCCTCTATGCTTTTATTGCTGTTTGCAGGTGTGCATCTGAAAACTGTGTCCCCGTGAAGGCGGGTATGACAGTGTCTCTGGAGGAAGGCCTGATGCCTGGCTTATTGCTAGAGACCCAGGGCTGAACACCAGCCTGGTCACAGACGTCTGCAGTTGGGTGCTGGAGAAGATCCTGGTAGGCAGAATCTGAAAGTGGAAACATGCGAGGCTCCCAAGGCTGTACATTCTGTGGAGTGAAAAAGGAGAGAAGGGAGAAGCTGTTGAAATTAAAAGCCCAGAATCAAGTACTCCAAGCATTCTACAATACCATCTCCTCCCTCTGTATGCCAATCTGCTGAATGACCAGCAGATTCAGTTTAGAAAGCGAGCTCTAAGTTTGCCAGGGTGCCAAAGCAAAGCCAAGTTTTAAGAGCAGTAAGCACTGGGCACCATTCTTAACACTTCCAGGATCACTTAGTTCAGCCTTCTATTGGTATCAAGACGACTGTCTTGCCACCTCCACTGACACTCTTTGTTTTTCATAGTCTCTTCATCTGAAAAGGCAAACGCTGTACACTTGAGCCCAAACCATGGACAGATTTGGTATGAAGTGTGTGCTTGTAAGGCTTCACAAGACCAGCTGTAAGGATGAGAGGAAGTTCAATTCTTCAAGTAGTTTCAGAATTTAACCCTTACCAAAGTTAACCCCTTCTGCCAAAGAAGTATCCCATGATGTGGGCAACTGCCTGAAACTATTCACTGTCATGTAGGTGACTCACTCCCACCCACTAGCAGTAATCTTAAGTTCTGGGTCAATACTGGTTTAGCATGACAAGCTATGACAGAGAAGAAACATTTATCCCACTCAGAACCCTTGAGCCAGCTCAAGTCTCAGCAAACCCCAAACAAGCTGAGCTATCTATTGAGCAGTGGGAAAGCTCATGTAGCTTTCAGAAAGTTTACTTTATATACCCCTAAAACTGTTTCAGAAAAGAACACAGCTGACATTTGTTACAGCAAAACCTCACCTGCATTGCTGCATACAGCATTTCCAGGGAAGACTCACTGCAAGACAGCACCATTCTGGTCTGACCATGAACAGAGAGGGCTTGCAAACCACTACAAGTCTCAAAGCCGTGTGAGCTGGTCAAACAGTGCACACACAGATCGTTAAGGCAATTAAATCCAGTAACTGGAGATGCTGGCTGAGGCTGCCTGGCCCATCGGCTGTCTGCTTTGTTGGAGGACCTAAAGCAAAGTAGCATTTAGAGCAGAGTCAGTTACGTACAATAAGAAACCCAAATAAAAAAATCACTGTACAGTGAAAAATGTAAGCTTTATCCCCTCTGTACAGTGAAGTGAGATCATATTGCCCAATTAGTGCTTTAACTGAAGAGCCTTTTCACTCCTATCTCTTCAAAGAGCATCTCATGGCTTCTTGGGCAACCATCATCCATTTCACTCCTCCTGAGCATGAAGAGAACAATTAAGCATTAAGAGAGTAAAATCTTCTGAAAAGATGACAAAACTGAAAGCCACACCAGCTACTACTAGAGACAACTGCATAGCTGAAGCTACCTGAAGGACTCCAACATTCTTCCCTGGTGTGACTACACCATTCTGGCCTTCTTCCAAACATAGGGATTACTAACAATATAACCTGTCAGTCTTCTCCCAACTCTGCGGCTCAGCTTGTGAAAACATCAGAGCTGAAACTTTCTGATAAGAGGCAGGGATCTCAAAAATATGAAATTCTCAAAACAAAGAAAGCAGAGACACCTACTACCACCTCATTCAAGGAAAGGCAGAGAATTCAACTTTTACCCACACAAACAGAAGAGATGTACCTCTGGACACAGAACAGATTGTTCTTTGTTCAGGCAACAGTAAAAAGGTAAGGAGATTCAGCGAATGAGCTGAAAACAATCTCTGAAGCAATAAGGTCTGTCAAATTTAAGCAAGCCAGAGGAAAAATGCTTGGAAGAAGTATGAAGTGCTACAGTTAACACAAAGCTCTCAACACAAGAGCTTGAGCTCAGTATGAAGCTGATTTTTAACAGGACTGTGACATGCTGCATTACCATTCTGCTGATTAGGCCCTATTTTAATCAGTTCTGCTTCTATCATGTAATAGATTAACTATATGAGAAAAATAATTTCTTCATTCAAAAGGAACTTCTTAAATCCGAATCTCTGTACAAATCAAAATTAAGAACAAATAAAGCCGCCACCTCCTCCTGTGTCTGCTAGCAAGAACAGTACCTGCCTCCTCGCTTGTGGGAAGGAACTGTTGCCCAGGAATCCCAGCGGGCTCGTTCAAGATCTTCATATTTGGAGTGATGACTGGAGTACACCTCATCAGAAGTATCCTCCAGCTAGGAAGAGGAATTTTGTCTGAACACTTGGAACACAGAATCTCGCCTGCAGGCCAAGCCTACTGTTCTAAAAATCCAGGTAAGTAATATCCAATCCGTTCAAAGTGTCTGGGAACTCGCACACACACTTCCAATCACTACCTCATTTTCATACTTTTCATTATATACTGAACTGGAAACTTGTTCATCAGCCCAGATTGTCAGGAGAAGATGCAGGTTGTTGTGTGCACCACATAAATAGCTGCCAGGGGTATGAAATCACACACAGCAGAAGGGTTTGTCCTGCCTGCAGCTAGCAGCAGTGACCCCCAGCCAACACCACCACAAGCCTTGTCTCTGCTGGCCTTTGACCAGCTTCAGATGCACCTGCATCAGCCAGAACCACACAGCATTTCATGCAGCCACTTCACTTACTGGGCTGGCAGAATTTAACTTGTAAAGACTGACCCCAGAGCTACTCACATGCCATTTGCAAAGTCTCAGAATGGCTGCAGACGTTTGAGACTAATTGACAACACTGCTTTCTTACCTCAGAGTCTGCTTGATTGAAAGGCTCCAGTTCAAGCTCCACCGTCCTCCAGCTGCAAGGGGCAACATAAGCTAGAGATCACTTCCAGGAAAAACACGTTTGGTACTAACATTTAAATCCAGGCAACAATAATACCTTTTTATTGTGTGGTGGTTTGGGGTTTTTTTAATTAAAAACTGTCTTTTTTTATCCATCAGGAATAATTTCCTTCTGTCATTTTATTAAGAGGAACGGGTCTCATTCTGCTCAACTAAAGCCATTTCCTCCCATCACCCCCAAGAGAGAAGAGCAGTAAAGCCTGGTCTGCAGGTACCTTGGTACCACAATCTCTTTGTACTGAGGCTTCTCCACCCGAGTGGCAGCTGCCATTGACTTTGGGATCACAATGTTATCGATGTCATAGGAGCATTCCACTTTTCTTCTTTTTGAGGACTGCTGCAACACAGAATGAAGAGAAACCCCATGCAGAAAATTAATGATAGCACAAAAGCATATTCAAATATACCATGGAATGTAATATGCAGGTGCAGTGGGTTCTTTCCACTGTCACTGGTGTTCAAGGATATTTTAAGTGATTTCATACAGCCTCTAAAGTTTGGTTTATTCCTATATGAAGCAGGATAATACTTACCTACCTCAGTGGGCAGGATTTCACTTATAACTTTGTATATGTTTGTACCACCCATGTAGCAAAAAGCCAATTTAAACAGGCAAAGGCAGCAAAAACTGCTACAGTTCTTTTCTTCCTTTCTCAAACATCCTTTTGTTTCTAGGTAGAGAGGCCGGACCACATATTGAAGTTCTCAGTGGCCACAAAGTTAGTTATGGTTTATTACTGATGTAATATTCTTTGAAAACTTTAATAGATACAGGACTACTTGGAAGCATTCTTAAAAATCTGATTAGGAAGCAGAGACTGTACCTGAAAGAGAAGCTTACAAAAGCAGCAGACAACTCAGAGTTGGTCTGTTAAATCTGCTCTGCATCAGAGAGGGAGAAGAGCCCTTGCAAAGAAAGTGCTAACAACATAGGAGCCATAAAGTCAGAAAATTAGGAGCTGATCCAAGTGAAATGGGTGTCACGAGGGACCCTTCTACAGGAGTCGGAGAATCATTTAGTCCAGAGAAGATCTCCAAGTTCAATGGTGTTCTCCTGAAGGACAGAACAGTCAAACCTAGAGAAAGCTACTTAGAATCATTGAAGACCTTTGGAAGAGACTCTTAAGATCGAGCCCAACCATTAACCCAACACTGCCAAGTCCACCAACTAAACCGTGTCTCTCAGCGCCACACCTACATGTCCTTTAAACACCTCCAGGGATGGGGACTCAAGCCCTGCCCTGGGCAGCCTCTCCCTGTGCTGGAAAACCCTTTCAATCAAAAAATTTCTCCTAATATCCAATCTAAACCTCCCCTGGCACAACTTGAAGTCGTCCGCACCCTCCTGGCAGGGAGTTGCAGAGGGCCAGGTCGTCTCCCCTCAGCCTCCTCTTCTCCAGACTGAACCCCCCCAGTTCCCTCAGATGCTCCCCAGCAGACCTGTGCTCCAGACCCTCCACCAGCTCCGTTGCCCTTCTCTGGACACGCTCGAGTCATTCAATGGCCTTTTTGGGGTGAGGAGCCCAAAACTGAACTCACTCATCGAGGGGCAGCCTCACCAGTGCCGAGCACAGGGCTCAGATCCCTTCCCTGTCCCTGCTGGCCACGCTGGTGCTGACACAAGCCAGGATGCCATTGGCCTTCTTGGACCCCTGGGCACACTGCTGGCTCACATTCAGCCAGCTGTTGACCAACACCCCCAGGTCCTTTTCCACCAGGTAGCTTTCCAGACACTCTGCTCTAAGGTCTGTTCCTGTCAATTAGGCTCAGCAATTACATATAAGCAAAAAGAGGATGGGAATATCACGTGTGAGCCCCCATCCTTCCAGGTCTCCTTTGCTCAGCATACTTGGAGAACCAGGAGTTTCTCAGTGCTCTTCTAGAGAGGCAGTTATTGCTGGATGCATTTTTTAATCCTCCTCTACTTGTAGAAAAACAAGAAAATGTTAAAGATCATCTCTTGGCTGATGTTCCTGCTTTATATGGGGAAGCCCAAAGCAATTAAATCTCTACCATTTGTAGCCAAATAAAGCTGTAACATTATGTTTATGTAACTGTTTACAAAAAAAAAAAAAAAGGAATCAGTAGAATATTGTCATGAAACCCACCAATATGGTTGGGGAAGCAGTGCAGCAGGGACCTAGCCAGACAGGCACTGCCTGGGGAAAAATGAAGCAAGTAGCTGTAACACCAACATCCAAACTGTACTTCCCATCAGTCCAGAAGCAGCAATGACCTATCTGAATTTGTCACAGATCTGCAGCCTCTGGGCAATGCCTGTTTAAGAGGGGCATCCCCCAGCTCCTCTCTAATCAGATTCATTTGCCCTAGCTCTTCTTTCGACTCACCATTGTGGAGCTGCCAGTGAGGGGGATCTGGCTGGCAGAAGGGGCTGGAGGAGTCTCTGGGTACAAAGACAGTGGGTGGTGCAAGGAACCATATTTATGGGCCCAAGGACTGGAAACAGGGAAGCTGCAACGGGATGATCCTTCAAGCTGCCTTCTCCCTTCGAACAGTGACCCTGTTAATAAAACATGAACAGAAAACCAAGGTGAAGTCAGGCTGACTTGAGACTGGTGGGTGATGCTGATACCCCATAAGGTCACCAAACCCACCCCAGGGAACAGAGCAGAACAAACACCGGCATTAGAGAGCAAATGGCAAATCAGAAGCCTCAAATGAAGCATCAGTGCTCTGCAGCACTCAAGATGCTAAGCCAAAAACATCACTTTTGGTGGGTGTTTCCACAGTAAAGTGGAAAGTGAAGTAGAAGTTACAGCCATCAAGAACTGCACTACTCAGTCCAAAACACAGCCACCCAAAAAACCCCAGCTTTCTTCACTGTCCAACCAGTCAGGCTGGTCCTATACCTAACAATCTCTCCAATAACAAACCACATTCTTTTAAGACAGATGTACTCTTCTCCCTGAAGTTCTATATATCAGCAGCTTGGTAGGCCTTTTCTACATAAGTTAACTTTTTTTTTTTTTCTCATTTGTGACAGGCTTATTCCAATGCCGAATACCACAAATGAAGCAATCTTCCAAACCTATTGTGCCAAATCACTACCTAAATCCTTCCTCCATGAGGCTCTTAGTGTTAAAAATACATTAAAATCATCCAGCATTACTGCATCATCCATTAGAACACACTCTTTACAGTAGAGTGTCTACACCACCACCTCCCCATAAATAATAGTTTTTGTGTAGTCTTGCAGCTAAATATTTGAAAGAAAGGAAGGAGGTATAAAAAGATAAACCAATTAATGGTCTAACACCTGCTGATCAGTTGACGGAATCTGTACTGTTGTGTTATTCAAGCATCCTCAAGCAGGTTCCTTACATTTATTCAACACTAAGCACCTGCTTGTTCTACCCTCATTACCTTCCAATAATCAGTTCAGATGTATCCCCAGAACACTCCTCTTTAAAACCAACACTCGTCCCCATTCAAAGCTAAGCAACCTCAGCCCAGACTGACTAAACATCATTAAATCAAGTTGCTCAGATCACTAGGGCCAAACACACAACCCGAGGCTGCTGACATACTTTCAGCATGGAAATTGTTTGGGTTTTCATTGTTGTTTGCTTATTTTGTTGGGTTTTGATTGTTGTTTTTTTGTTTTGTTTTGTTTTTTAAATTCTATCTGGTTTGTTCATGATCATTTGCATCAGCAACGCAGAACACAAGAATTATTCCAGATGCAGCAACTGTGTCCCATAAGAATGTTGAGAATATAGCCAGCCTGCACATTGTTACTTCCCAAAAATGATCTGGCATAAAAACATACCTTTTAAAGAAAGCCAAATGGAACACTGATCCTAGTTCATTTATAAACTAGGATGTGTTTTAGCTGGGTTTCCCTTTTTCTGTCTTGAAACTGGCCTGAGTCTTCTGACACTCATTTTATCCTGCTGTAGACCATTTAAAATCATCAGCTCTGAAGGGCTGATGAAAAAATTAGATCTTCCACAAAAGGGCTGCTGCTTCCAGCAAAAAGCAGCATGCAACTGGAACCAGAAAAAAGATGCCAAATTTTCTTCCAGGCAAATACTGGTCTACTCTGATTTCAAATAAAGGTTCATAAAAGCTTTGGTCTGGATTGCTTCTTTTCTTGAAAGAAATACAGAGAATGGTAAGGTTTACTTTTAATAACTCTGCTGAGGCCAGTATTTCTGTGTCCCTCCAGGGGAGTCAGAATTTCTGTAGTCTGCAAGTTGCTGGACTCAGTCACTGAGACATTACTATAGGACAGAGTTCAAATTATCTTCCACTGGAAGACAGAGAGCTACTTCCTTCACTCTACCTTGACTTGTTCCCCTCAGTTACTGGTTAAAATCCCACATTTAATTTTTTAACTTAGTCTCAAACTCCATTTTGCTTAACTTACGGGAAGCAAGCAGGAGTGAAGAGTGTAGCTTTGGGAACACCCTGGTAGTTGGATCTTTCCTTCCAAAATGGCACATCTTCAGAGTCTTCAGCTCATGGCTCAATAGTCTATGCAATCTGTCTTCTCTTAATAAGGTCTCAAAGTGCAAGTGGAGAGGGTTGCCTGAAAGTAGGAAACCCAAGTTATTTTGGTAAGTGTAAAGCTTCCTCTTTCCTCGTTAGCAATTCACATCTGAGGACTGGTAAACCAATGAAGTGACACAGCCAACTACAGCAAGTGCGGTGGGTGGTAGGCTCTCTTGCCCCACATGTGCTGTGACAGAGTGGCAGTGATGAGCACAACCCCAGAAAAAGCAGCCCCTGTCCTGGCCCTCCACTAGCCACAATCCCACAGCCAGAAGGCGACACCTCACCTTTCAGCTTCCTCACACTTAAGCTAACCTCAATCATACGCAGCTACATAGTACTTGGCATTCGTTTGCATCATTACTTAATGAGCAGAGGTGAGCTTATACTTTTTCTTAATGATAAAAATATTTTTGGACAGATGCTCTCATAATTGCACAGTAGAAAAAAGTATTTTTCTCACTGTCTCTTAACCTACTCAACTCCTTTGTGCACTTTCTTGCTCTTCCACAGTTAAAGACACTAGCAGTGCTGCAGCTGCTATCATCCTTCTTAAACAGAAACTAAATAATGGGTTTCTACAGAGCATAGTTCATAAAGCAATCACAGAGCACACCTAGAAGGCCACGGGTGTTTAAATAATGAGTGCTTAGAGTCAAACAGTGATTTAACCTTCAAAATTGGTGCTAGAGGTCTAGCAAACAACTGCCACACAGTCTGTAAAATCACCATTAGATTCTGAGTCTTTCAAGTCATCCTCCAGGGCAGGGGTTTAAAAGGAACTTAGAACAGTTCTTCTGCAAGCTTCCAGAATTCAAACGTTCCTTGCATAAGACACAGAGCTGATCCTAAAGAAGTGATCTAAGCTTAATTAAACTAGAAGTGGCAACTGCTGCAGAGGCAGGCCAAGAGGCAACATGGTTTCCTAGGCTCAGCAGTCTCCACAGACTGCACCCTTGGACTGAAGATGTGTGTCTGGTTACTACGCAGAATGTCACTGGACATTTTTCATTCTCCTCTAGAAACACGCTTACAAACTCCATCAGTGCATTGTTAACCTCCTTGCACATGAGGAGGAAGAGCAAAGAGGGCAGTGGCCCAGTAAGGGATCCTCTTTCACATAACGTGGGATCTACTCACCATGAGATAAAGAGAGAATGGGGTGGAAGCCAGAGTCCAGGAGGGCTATGCGCTCTTCTAGGGACATGGTGTCGGGGTCTATTGTCTGGACAGAGGCTTTGCAGCTACACAGGATGCAAGAGTTGGGCCATTCACAGCTGCACTTCACTGTGAGAGGTTTCAGCAGCTAGCAGAAGAAAGGAGATCAAACATTTAAAGAGGGAAACGTGCTTCGGGTGTAAGTAATTGAAGTTCAGATCAACTATCTCCAGTCTGCTTTCTGTAAGTATACTAGTTTCCATTCACTGAATTTTGAATGGAAAGCTTTGAAAGACTGAAAGTCATCTCCGGCATCATCCTTGCCCAGCAAAACTGGGGAAAAACAACTCACCCCAAACCATAACTAAGCAGCAGATTTGCAGGGTGAAAAAGAAAATCAGGAGCCAGGGTCAGTGTAAAAGAGTGTGCAATAGTACTGCCACAGGCTGTTTCTCCTTCTGACCATGGATGAACCATCTTATCAAAGTGCTTCAGTGTATTCCAGGACACATTTTGTGTGTTTCTTTACTAATATTTCCAAGCCAACAGAGCTGTTCCTCTGTGACTCCAGTGAAGCCATAATACTTCATCACTCCCTTTTCAAAACTTCAAACACCTCTGTGCCTTTTTCTATCCAGTTATTCCTTATCTTCCTTAAAGGCTTTTTATAGCTCTGATGCTTGTAAAAAAACTTGATGAAAACCCCTGTTAGGTGAACAATCCACCACCAGCAGCATCCATCGTTCTGACCAATACTGTCTTATTTTCCACTTTTCCTCACTTGCCTGTCTGGAGTGGAAGCTGCGACCACAACAGCTCTGATGTCTTTGTTCCACCATTTTTCCCAACGCTGTCGCTAAGACACACCCGATGTCCCTTCCCCATCAATGTTTCAGGTTCTGCAGTATAAGTCAAGCCAGAAGAGGGAGCATTAATAATACTATTACCTATAGCCTAAGCAGACTGAATTAAATCATGCTGCCTTCGCACTCTGGTGAAACAAAAGATCAGACTGGGAAAACTAACAGAACTTTTAATCTTTTTGTCTTGAATCTGCAGCTTTTTTAATACCCGTACCTTGTAAATCAACAAGTGAGGAAAAGACTACAAACAGGCAAATAAGATGAGCAGCGTAACAAGCTACGGCTTGTCAACTGATGGAATGTTACCACATGTTCTTTGTCAGAATTAATATATTAAACATCTTTAATCATCAGGTAGCTCACAGCTGGTGTCCAAGGAGTGCTCATGTCATCAGGCATGGTCGCTCAGCCTTCAAACACCCAGTTACACTCAGTCACACACCAGTTTGCCAAGTTTTAACCAAGGTTAAGTATTTTGGGGTGGTGGGGTGTATTTTTGGGTGGCTGGTGGGTTTTGTGTGGTTTATTTTTCCCTGGACAATTCCAAGGTAATCAACTCCAAAAGGTAAGTGGCAGAATGTTGCTGCCCATGCTAAAGGCTGGTCATCATTACTCAAAAAAAAAAAAACCACCAAAAACAGCTGCCTGATTTTTAGGAGTTTAGAATCTAAACTACAGTTAAATCGAGAACTCAGGACTTTTTTAACCTATCTGGGAATTTCTTCTAAAATTCTACATGAATTTTAGAAAAGCGCTCAGAAAACTCTATACTAACAACATAATAACAGATTTTCCTAAAAATAAACCCACACATTCTAAATAAGAACACAGCATAGTTTAGTAATGACACAGAAAAAAAACCCCAAACTTTCACTTACTTTCCTGCTGAAGTGAGACACCGAGGTAGCTCGGACAAGCTTGCGCCTCTTGTATCTGCAAACCGGGCGGATTCTAGCAGCAACACAGGTATCGTCCGACACAGCAACGAGGCTATGAAATGGGTTTTGTTCGCCAAATCTCCCCACGTTCATGCTGATCAGAGAACTGCTGCTGGAAGAGCCAGTACGCAAACTGCAACCAAACCGAAAACTCTCAGAGCAGGAGTAAGTTGTAATTATGTATTTATGATTGTGGCTGCAACACCCAAAGACTCCTTACATGCCAGCAGCTAGTGCTTACACGCTTTGTTCTCACCACAGTTTTAGTCTTTGCTGCATTCTCTCTCAAGTGGTATATGGATTTCTGAATATTTTATTTGCAACAGAAATGGACACTGTAGGGTCTTAACAGCTATATTTTCATCAGTAAAGGGCAGAAAGCCTTAAAAGCCAGATGCAGTAGCCACTAATACCATATGTTCTTTCTCCAACAAAACTTCAGCCAGCAGCTCAATTTATCATTTGATAATAACAAAGTCATTTACTTCCCATAAAGACAGCCATTAAGCCTAAAAACATTGGCAAACATTCTTTCTATTTCTTTGTTTACCATGGGGTTATGGTAAAATCTAATGTTATATTTCCACAGATACAAGTTTACCACTTTGCAGGATATTCTTCTTCTGGAACCATCCCTAAAGCAGTGCTTTTTTGAAAGATCTTTTTGTAACTGGTCACGCATTCATATTATCATTTAAAAGCTTAATTTATATGTCACTTTTGTTGGTTCCAATCAAGCATGATTGGGGTTTTTTTCTTGGTCGCACAGCAAACATTCTCCTAAAATTAGGAGTTTAAAATCTGTATTTTTGTCATGTGAACCAGAAAGATTCTAGTTGGATATTCCAACTCCACACCAAACCACTGGACCAGCCAGGCAGGAATCAGCAACATCACCAGACATTGACCTGAGGTACTCATTGTTAACAAGGCTTTAGAACCTCCCCACCTCTGCCATTCTTCACAAAATGAAGAGCTGCTGATTTACATCCAAGTCAGATCATTCTATACTGTCATCCATTTGTTACCAGTTTATAAGCCAAATCCCATTCAGCTATAAACATGAGGAAAGACATCTGTAGGAAAAGATGTGCTTAGAGACCCAAATTTCCCCAGTCACCTTTTCTTAACCACACAAACCAGGAAGATAACAACATTTTATACAGTAAGAGACAAAATGCAAGTGAAAAAGTACTCCACAAAAAATACACAGCACCAACATTCTGTAAGTGAAACCAAACTAGTTCTAGATAACAGGATATGATGAACCTCTGAAGTCTACAGATCTGCACAAGACTATTCTTTCCCAGGGGCCTCATGCCTCCTGCTGCCCTACACAGGAAACAAGTTTGCAGCAAAATTGGTATATTTTGGACCCGAACAATTCCAAACCACAGTGACTTCCACAGTAGGCAGCTCTAGTTGTGGGATGAGGGGGAAAGGGTTACTGTGATGAGACATCACTGCCCAAACCAGAAAGAAATTACTGCAGTGGGATGCACACAGGCCATCCCACCCGAACAGTGACCATTTAACTAGATGTTGTAACAGCCGGGAGGATTGGTCTCAGCCTCTGAAACCAGGCTCAACAGCTCACTGCCACTCTCACTCCAGGGAAGTGGAAAAACAAGGAAAGGAGAAGATTCGTGGCCAGAACCACAGTTACTGGCTTCATCTCCACCAAAAACCTGTACTCACGCATGTGTTGGCATCTGCCCTATTGTTATTTGTCACACAATTAACTTCTAATGCTTTTTTTTTATTGTATAGCATTCCATACCTGAATAGTGTGGAAAAAGTTACAAATATGGTAATTTTACTTGCAATTTCTCAATATGTCTACTTAGTCTCACAAAATATAATAGCATTAGATTTCCACTGTGAAGTTTTAGTTAGGAATATACCCAACAATCTTATAGAAGTGAGGGATAACCAAACTAGGAAAATCAGGTTTTTTTCAGCTTATCACATATCACTCAGGGATGTAAGAGTGTCAGAGAGCACTTTTAAACTTGCATTCAAGGGGTCCCAGAACTTGTACTCTTCAAGTGCATTCTAACATAGTCTCAATACCCTCCAAGGAGCTCTTGGGAATAAGAAAGTTTGAGAAATTTCTATTACCTTGTGTGTTAAACAGGAAGTTCAATGTATCAATGTACAGAGGAATTCACTGGCTCTTACTCTCTTCTGACTGCTGAATAAATCTCTGTATTACAAAACTTTAAAAATATATGGCACAGCTTGTAAAAATCCATGCTTTCAAGTCTACACAAGATACAGCTTTCCTTCCAAGAGAAGCAGAACCTTCAAATGCCATTACTAGATTAACAGAAACAGACAAACAAGCTATCTCAGACAGTGCTTCCAACACAAGCAGAGGATGATTTAACCAAAAAAAGATCTGAAGAGACAAAATATTTAAATTTGGGGATCATGTTACATATAGCTACTCATTTAGGAGTGCTCAAAGACAGATCATATCACACCACACAGGAACTATCCACAGGAATTTAGTTTTATAAGTTCCAAAATGGAAATCCTCATTCTGTGTATACACTCAAAACCACTTGGTCTCTTCCCTAACAAGGTCCAAATGAATTCCTAGTATCTGTATAATTCCAGTTTGGGTACTTATCTTGGGATGTGATCTGGATGCAACGATTTTCCCAAAGTCTGCCTATTAGGGAACTGCCTCCCAATGCAAGCACCCAGCCAATTCTACAGAAAAGAGCACTGAAAAGTCTTAAAAGCATCTAGGCACCAGAAGAAAACAGGAAAGCCATTTTGTCAGTATCTTAAGCACAGTCTTTTCACCTTATGGAACTTGTAACCCTTCAAGTCAACTTGAAGAGACTGTGTTTAAGATATTCATGAAAATACGCTGTAATCCTGTATTTGCAAAAACAGGCTATAGCGATGCATGGTAACAAGTTTGAATTAACACGACCAAACCTAAACAAAAGAGCAAAGTTCATTGGTAAAACAGAAGGGTCCTGGCAATTACCCTGCTGGTCTCTGGCTCCTGTTTTCACACCGTGGTGGCGACTGGTTCAAACATAGCCAGCAAAGCAGTGGCTGTTTGCAGCACAAGTCAGCCATCACTCTCCACAGAATCAGAACTCCACCAGCTCCAGCAGGTCAGTGTAGAGATTCCTATTCATCCTAACAAAACTGTTCACAACAGCCTGCCCTACGAGCAGGTCTGCACTTCTGATAAGGGAATATGGAGGTGCTCCTCCCAGGGAGGGAGAGGCTTCAAGCTTCCTCTACTACTTCTTCCTCTTCAGACCTTTCAGGGAATTCACTGTTCCTCAGAGACCGACATTGGAGGCCTGGCCAGAGCCCACATTATACAATGAATAGTGACTCCTCCTATCCATGCCATCCCAACTCCTCAGCCTTTCGGTTTTTCACAGGCAGAAACATGCACTGATAATTGAGTTTTATCAAAATTTGTAACTTATGTATAATAAAAGATACAATGCCTTACTTGCAGTTAAGAAGATCCATTGCAGAGGCAGCAAGCATAACATATTCCACGGAATACAGAAGCAGAAAGTGGTATTTCAGCTGGGTTTAACTCCAAGTATGACAGAGACCCACTACACAACACTGCAAGTAACTATGGATTAAAATAGCCATTTAAACAGATTTAGACCTTTAGAACTTGGTGTAATACTTCCAGAATCCTCTGGATTTCTACAATATAAGTCAAGAGAAAGTGGGGTTTATTATCTGCAGATTTAGCTGAGAATAAAAGCATGACTACTAAAGAACCTACTTTCAGAAGATTAGCAATGTTACTGCTTGAAGCTCAGGACTAATCTACTAAGAATTCATTAACCTATCAATCACTGTAGCAGAAACACAGAACTAAGTGTCTGCTTTGAATAATCTATACTTTGTTCCCTCATCCTACTGCAGTCCAATCAATTCTGGGCTGAAACTACCACTGTTAAAATGCAAGCTAGTTCTACTGGAAAAACATTTACTGAAGTCATCTATGGAAGAAAACCAACCTCTTCCCTCAAAAAAACCCCACAACATGTTTTATTTCATTAGGCAATGCATCAACTTGAAGCCTCTGCATGTTCTGATTAGTCCAATTTCAACTCCCCGAGACTAAAGCTCAATCAAATGATTATGAGCACCAGGTACCTCAGAAGGTGCTGATTTGCAAGAATGATCATGATGGATCAGACCAAAGGTCCATCTCACTCAGTACCCTGTGGAGCAGCTGGGCTGAAAACAGACAAGGACAAAGGGGTGCAGAGGAGGCTTGGTGGTGACTGGGAGATCTCAGAAGTTGTTCCACACAGCATCAGAAGCCCTGAGATGGAACTGAGGAATAAGGGTGCAGCAGCCCAGACAAAGATGCTTCACATTGCCAGGCATGTCCAGTCACAAGCGGGTGAGTCCAGGCCACCAATGCCAAGGTGTCTATGCCCGCCAGAAGGCTGAAAGCAGCTCCCCACTGTGCCAGCATGGCCTGGGCCAAGGGAAGCTTTGCTCTGAACAGGGCTGGCTCCATCTGTGCTCAAGCTGTTTGTTCTTCAGCCACCACAATGGCAATGGCAAGATGTGGCCAGGAGGATCTGCCTACATTAAAAGAACAGCAAACAGGTGGCTCTGCAGGAAATAAAACGCAGCAGCTCTGAGGGGATGTCTAGAAAATGAGTGTAAGAATTGGGCAAGTACATACAACATGTACCCTAGTGCTCTCAGGAGGCTCTCCCTGCACCTTCAGCTCAAACCACACTTAGCTTAGGCCGTCCCAGTGTATTTAGCAACTTCAACAAATCTTTCTACGATGCAGACTGTATCCTGCTTTCTCAGTAGCTTCACAGAAAATGGAATGACAGTGAAGACTTTACAGAAAATGTAAGGAAAACTCCTCAAGAAATAAGTGGTATGTGCACCAAATTTTACTCAATTTAATTTGCAGTGCCAACCTGTCATCTTGGGCATGTATGCCCCCTTAAACTAAACGTGCTTATATATGTTTTGCAGATCATCTAAAGTCTACAAGCATCCAGGACTGGAGACTGAAAGTTTTTTTGCTAGATGTAAACTAAGTTGACAAGGGAAGGACAAACTTCATTTGAGCCTCTTCTTTGTCAGGGATGAAGGCCTGAAAGTCAAACTAGTTGCAGTCATCTGCTTACAAGAAAGAACTGAGAAAGCAACATGGATCTGGTGGGGGAAGGAACATTTTCACCGTAAGACTTCAGTGCAAGTTTCACTGTGGTGTTGTCTGTATTGGATTTATATCCCTCCCTCCCTATCACATTATCCAATTTACACAGGAACAGTCACAGTGTGAAGTAGTGAGGTTTTTTGGCTTTTTTTGAAGCAGCACTAATTCTTCCCTCTCCCCCATCCCAAGAATAAGTTAAGAATAGATGGAGAAATCTTTAGAGAAGTGAAATAGAAGGGAAGGAAGTAAGAATAAAAACTTCTGAAAGAGAACAGCTGACAACCCAAGGAGATACCACAAAGCTCTACATGAAAATGAATCAGTTGGAAGAACAGCATGGTAAATCATCGGGACAATTAGTACATTTCTGGGTTGTATCTTCCAGAGAGCTTCTCTTAACTGATATATCCAGTACTCCATGGGATGAAAAGCTTATTCAGAAATTTACAGACTAATGTTTGCCTGTTACTACCAAGCTTCTTGAAGCCCACTAACTGCTTGCACAGGACATATGTCCCCAGTTATTAAACTGAATGCTAGTTAAACACTGCATGACAGAAGGAAAGCTCCCAGTTTATGTAGTAATTACCACCCCTCTCCCCCCAGTATTTAAGAAGCAACTGATCAGTAATATCTTTTTTATTACAGATTCAAGGCTCCATAAAAACATGAAGACTTGAAAGGCTAAGTTATCTCTTCACCAACAGGACAGGCAAGATTTACTTCTCTATATACTTAAAATTAATAAGCAGAATATAGTTTAAATTAATAAGCAAAAAAATATGTTCTGCATTCTGTGCAGGGAAAGAGACTGAAAAAGCTCAGAAATCCACTTGTTAAAAAAAAATCAGGTCACCAGGATGCTGTATAGCATTCAAGCTTAACCTAGAGAGGCAAGATACAGTTTGGTCGCCTGTTCACAAAAAGCAGGTAACATCTTCCCACAGGCTGCTTGCAAAACAGGCAACATCATATATAGATGATGTAGTTTTTGGTAGTTTTGTGGTTTTGGTTGTTACTCTTTTACACAATAAATCACAACCGGTAATTTTATATTACTTCTTGCAAGAAATTCCCCTCCAGAATCCCAACAGACACGCATACCTATTTCAAATTTTGACAACTGAACTGTACATACAGGAATCTTTTCACTAGAGATCCCTTTCTTAGCCATTATCACCAATGCCTTAAATATGAAATTACTTTGATCAACCTATGAGAAGAGAACTAACCAGTTAAACACTCCGTTGACTTGGCGGGGTGACGTGGTGCAGGCTCTGAGGGGTGCTGGACACCCACTGATGGGGGTGCAGGAACGCCTTTGACATGTAGGGTTTCTTAAAGATTGTGTAAGATGGGAGCTCTGCAAGAGAAAAAAAATGGAATCTCAAACTCAGTAAAGCTTAATGTGGCAATGAAGCTGAAGAAGAATGAGGGGAGAGAGAAAACAAAGAGTAATCTAATGAACACTTTGTAATTTTAATATTGAAATTACATAGGCCCAACATATCAATCACATGTCATTTATTCAATTGTATTTCATGCAACAACCTCCAAATCAACCCAAAGTCATATTCTAAATGTTCTTACACATCACAAAATCAGTAACAAAAGAAAGCTTAGTTCTCTTAAGCTGGAGATTATTTTCAGAGCAAGATGGTCCAATTTTTGAGCTATTCTGCCTTTTCCACTAGACTGTACTATAGCAAAAACTGTACTAAATGTTGTACTAGTTTCACAGAATATTTCTGATGTTAACGAAATACTAGTGTTATTTAAGAACATTTGATGTTAAACACACACTCATTTGACACGATTCTGAAGTGTCACTACACTTTTGACTTCCACATCATTAAACCCCATATCTGCAGTTCACTGCATGCATATATCTACACTAGCATTAAACAACCCCCCCCAAAGGCAAGAGAGCAACAGGAGTACTGCACTATCAATGTCACAGCTTCCTCCCTTGAAGGAAGCATCTCCTTGTCAAATAATTAATACAGGAATTTACTGAGTCACAGACTGTATCCAGAACACAGCATTCAGTTGGTAGAGCCTCCATGAACTTGTTTATTCCCTTTTTGAACAATGTAATTTTGCCACAGAATATTTCAGATCTGAATGCAATTACTGACTCTGTACTTTCTTTTAGTAGATATTTATCATACAATAAAAAAAAACAGTGAATCATCCCATGTTCATCTTGAATCTATCAAGCACAAACAGTCACCTTTGTTCCCACCGGAGTTCAGTTACACAGTATTCAGATTCTGCAGCTTACCCTTAGACATATCAGAGCACCTTCCCCTCAAAATTTGCAACAGAAAAAGTTAAAGCGGGCTTTCAAGAAAAGGAGGAGTCTTAATTTTTTTTGTGTCCTCTGAAACATGAGTATTTTCCCTGCTCTACATCTGCAGCTTGTGACAGTTGACCCTTCACAGAAATTAAGGCTAAAAGTACCTATAAGTCCCTTGGCTTGGTGACCAGAAGTCACCCACCACCACCCCAAAAAAAACAGGTCCTGAACACCACTTAAAGTCAATCCTTTAAAAAGGTCTTTAAAACCATCATACACAAACAATGCAAAAAAGTGCCATCAACACCAAGACTCTAGCAACAGTTTAAGATCAGAAACTAAAGTGATCCCAAATACTGGTTTAAAGGGTTTTTTCATGACTGCAAACTCAGTAACTGTTCACAGACCTTGCACAGTAAATTAACATTCACAATAGATTTCTGGGGTAGGTTTCTTTGTTTTGTGGTTTTGTTTTCCCTTGTTTAATGTTGGAGGACTAAGAATACATGACAGTACAAGAGCGTTAAAAAAGCATAAGTTGAAGTAAGTTCAGCTATGTTAAATACAAAGTATAGTAAACTGATATCAGCTAATGCATTAATAGATGAGAAAAAGCCAGCAAGAATGAGTTCTAAAGAAATGTTAAAATAGCATATTAAAACCAAATTTTTTGATGCGATTTATAAACTGCTGATAATTTAAGACTTGCCTTAATAGCAGTTTGTTTCTTCACTTCTATCGCTGCAAAATTACGTGTTTCTTGATTACTGACCTGCTTCTGCATATTATACAGGAAACGGGAAGGCACAGCATCTCCTGCAGGGCACCTTGGGATAGAAGATGAAGGCGAGAGCCACTTATTCTTTCTGGAGGTCACCAGTGACACAGAACCCAACTGGTCCTGCTTCTTCATTAGGTTTCCAGGCTGATGGTCACCACCAAGGACTACTGGACCCTGGGGATAAAAAGCAACACCAAATTCCACTCATGGAAGCCACAACACAACAAATATTTCTTAAATATACATTAAAAACAAACTACTTAGAATTTACATTTTGAATTAATGAAGCTCTCCAACCTAGGGGAAGCAATTTAAGGAGGATACATTACTAGGTCAACATCAGTGCTGTTTGTTTTTCCTAGAAGAGCTGTCCACAGCCATGGCTTATAATTAACATGCTGGTTTCTCCAGCTCTGCTCACAGCTACAAGGAGGTATAACTGAGATCAGCAAAAAGGAAATAAAGGCACAAGAGTGCCCACAGAACATTACTCACTTGGTATCATTGGTCATGGACCAGCAAACATGGGTGATTGCAACTAGAGAACATAGACTATTCAGAATAACACGGCAGTAATTAATAAGTACTGCTCAAAAGGTGATGATTGCCATGATTAAGGCTACCATCCTCCCTATTTAATTTCTGTTTTTATAACGGGCAAGGAGAACTGGCCACTCTGCTGTTCAGTTTGTTCTGCTCCCACCACACACATCCTCTTCATCCGCAGCAGCGTGTGCCTTGCAGCACACACACAATGCCCTACACACAAACCCCTTTCTCTTGACTAGCTTCTCTGTGCTCAACAGCAGCTTACTAGTTTCTCACACCAACAAAGTATCTCTTTAGTAGAAGAGATGGGAAGTAGCTGGAAAGTTAGCAACCCTTACAGGGAAATTTAATGTTATTCACTGTGTAGTTCACACTTTATAGCACCTGTGCTATAATTGCACACATACTTGTGAATGGAAAAGAAAACACTATGCAGAAAAATTATTTCACACATTTGCATTCACGTCTGTATAAACATCATAAATGCTTGAAAACAGTAACTGCTTTACAGTGAATTAAAGATAATCATAAGCTAATTTGGTTAAAGAAATATAGCTAAGACATTCCAGTTAAAGATCCAAAGCATCTGAAAAGTTAGTATTCTCCCTGATCTTCTTGTGGTGCAATAGAGAATAACGTTATCAAAGTCTAGGGCTGTTAGTCATTATTTTCCATAGCATTAGAATAGAATCAAAGAGCAATTTAGATCAGAAGGTAAACCTGGAAGTCACCTAGCCTAAGGCTCCCCTCAAAGCAGGTCTGACTGACCCTCTCGTTGGCAATCCTAGCCAAGAACAGCCACAAATTAAGGCTGTCCTCACCTCAGATCTTGCAGGAGCACCTACAAAAGTGTACAAAGGAGTAAAGCTATTCAGACACCGCTCTTTATTTTTGTCAGGGACACATTATGCCCCAGTGGAATTGTAAGTTTTAAGTTCATCAAAAATCACCCAACGTATTTGATTTACAAAAGCTGATGCAAACGGAAAGTGCATTTATCCAGAGAAAATACACACATATGCAGTTAAGTACAATACTTAAAACCCTTTTCCTTCCAGACAAAGGGCACGAGGAAGGAAAACACTCAAGCCCAGTAAAAATCCTCACATCCTGCTCCCTGCCCCCGCCAACTCTAGGGAAATGAGCTTTGCAGTTTACACTGAAAGCCAGACTTAAATAACTTCAAATTGGAACATGAGAGTGATTTCAGAAGTTCAGAAGCACACCCTGACAGAATTGACTCAAGCGTTTCCAGAGAGTTTTGTAGTGGACCAAGAGGCTCATAAAAGGGGAACCCCCAAAACACATTGCAAGTTTTGAAGACAGAAAGCTCCCCCTCCCCCTGGAAATCTAGTCACACGGAAATAAATATACTAGTCAAGAAATGAGTATTCATCCTATCTATTTTCTAGCATAATGCTTCTCAGATATTGAAGTGAAACATTAAAAGGTCATGGCTGAAAAGCAAAAAAATTGTGTACACAGCATTCTGAGATTTAAAGATCCACATGTGTTAAACGGTGACTTTCCAGCAGGCATCAAGGCTTGAAACATAATGGTACTCTGATGGTTCCCTGGCACTACGGCCGTTTAGAAATCAACACTTGCAATGACCAACTTGGTGGCCTACACCACTGTGGAGCCCTGTTCCACTAATGAGCTGCTCTGCTTGCACACAATGATGAAATTAAGCCACTCCTCCCTCAGCAAGCTCTTACTATAATTTTTGTGAAGTAGACAGAAATCACAGCCCTGAAAAAATAAAAGTAGCACCTCTTACTGGTACAGGACTAACTCAAAAGCTCTAAAGCTTTTTTGCCCTCACCTTCATTTCTACAGAGAAAATACCACTCTGCTAAAGAAATAGCCTGTGAATAGCTTCCAGAGAACCTCCCAAGTCATAAACCAGAAAGCTAAAATTACCTTGGCAGCACGAAGTTGCTTGTATATATCTGTCTGCTGTCTTATTCGATATTCTAAATCAGAGATTTGAGCCTGCAACCACGTCCAGCGGCAGATAATGGCTGCTCTCTCCGTGGCCCACTGGCACTCTGCATGGCGACGTCTGAAAAGCAAGAGTTAGCTTGTACTCATCATTTAAGTAACAGTTTCAACGCTCTAAAGTACAGTTTGACAGAAATTCAAGAACAATTTCTCTGTTGTGATTAAGAGTTTGTGGGGGACAAATGAGTTTTTCACCCACAAATTCTACCAATATCTAGCTGTAATTTACAAATCCTATCCCCAAGATAAGAGTGGTCAATACCATCCTTCAATCGTGCAACAAAATATATTAAAAACGAGCAGGTATCATTATTGTGACTACCACAAACAGTGCAGAAGTCCAGATCTTTCTAAATAAGCACAGAAACAACTTCTCTCCTCTGCAATTTCGG